ACAAAAGAAGAATATTACTTCTAAGCCTGTGTAAGGCTGTTTATTCTGTTTATACAATATCTTAACTAATGGTCCCTTAATGGAACTTTCTGGAATGAAACCTAAACTGAGAAGGAATAGATGAAACAGTACATGGTCTGGCATAAGACAAATCTAAAATTATCAGCTATAAATTACATCAAATGCCAATACATGATTTAATTAAAGCATAGGGGAAATGAGGTAGAGCTTGAATCACTTCAAGTACTGTTTCCAGTACTGAATAGATAATAGGGAAAGCATAAATTGAAACAGAAAAGGAGATTAGCCATCACTAAATCACTTTTCAACTAAGGAAAAACAGTTGTGTAGATAAGGTTATCAGACAAGATGTTAAGGTAGATATGCAGGGGTAATTAAAGAAACAATTAAGGGCTTCTTCAGTACAACAGTAGATATTAAAAAGAAATAAATCTCTTAGGACAAATAGCCTTTTCCTGGTTGAATTGTGCTCATGCGTGCGCGTGCGCGCACGCGCACGTGCATGTGTGTGTGTGTGTGTGTGTGTGTGTGTGTGTGTGTGTGTGTATTTCAAGTGGTACAATATTCCATTTTCTATGATTATAAGTTGGATATTGCATATTCTAACTACATGAATAGGAGATGAAATCTCCTAATCATTTATTAGATTATTTTTTATTTCACAGAAACATTTGAAAACAGTTGTATGATACACTAAACTAAGTTAAAGGGTACTCATTATTCATTTGAAACCTAGCCTTTTTTAAAATAACACAAAAGTTAAGCAAAATTTCCATTTAATTTAAAACAATCTAATTAAATTTATTTATTATTTTAAGTTACTATACAATTGTTCAGTTCTTAACTGTCATGATGTGAGCTTGGTGAAATGGTACTCTTGTAATTACTTACTTGCCTCCCAGTAAAATAAATCCCTCAAGTATGGTGAAGCAAATAGGTATTAACTACTAAATAAAAACAACAAAACTTTCCCATGCTTGAGAACTATATTTATTATTAAAGAGTGTAGAAAATAAAAATATAGGTATTTGGGAATCTTACTTATCTTTGAGTTAAAAAAAATATTCAGGCAATCCATTTCATATATGTACTAGAGGGACTGAAAAACAAAGCTTTGTTTACTTACCTAGAAGCTTTCATAAAAAACTATACCTTTTAAATATGTTTCATATATAGCTTTTTAAGTTAAAAATAATAGCTTATATCTAAATACTATAAATGGAATATGAAGATATATATGTCTATATATAGACATATATATATATATATATATATATATATATTCAGTTAAATCCTTTTGGGTTTACCTGCATTTCTTTCTTATTCCAATTTATTTTAGGAAAATCTCAGAAGGGAAAGATCATAGGTTTCCCTCAGGTTAAGAAATTAATTCAGTCTGTTTGACTAATTAAGAAAGGGAAGGCAATTTAGAAGAAAGTTAATGCCATACATTTTTCTCTTTAATGCTTTTAATATATAAATGAAAGAAAACTTGGAGAATCTGAAAAAAATTTACAATTATGACTGAATATTAAATCTCTCCATATATGATAAATACTTTGTAAGAAGAAACAATTTTCCAGAAATTGGTAGTATGCTCTGTGTGCATCATTTCAGAAAATAAGCAGAAAACCTTGGGAATGGCACATTCACTTGTACCAACCTTTAGACAAGTGCTTTTAAAATATGTAAACTCCAAAAAAAAATATTTGTAAAAGTTAATAACATTGACAAGCAAATAAAAGCAGGGAGAGCTAAGGATTTTGCCTCTTGAAAGAAGGGACACACACTAGGGAAAATATGCATTAGGAGGCCTTTTGTCTCCCTTAAATATCTCTAGGAAGCTAGAACTCAAGCTGAAAAACTCAATCTTATTGATATGATGTGTCAGAGGATAGACTTCAGGGTTGTCAGAGAAAATGAAAAATTAAAGAAGAAGCCATGCGAAAGAGGAGGTTACAGGGGAATGATGTTCCTACATTTGCATATAAATCTCCACCCCCCCAACCCCCCATCTGCTAGGATGAACTCTAAACTGCACGTGCAGAAAGAAGATTCCAAAGATCTGGTGAAAACATAAAGCTAGAAGACTGAAAAGCCTCAGCAGACTTTTTCAGTTGATGTCCACTGCAGAGAAGATTGTGTTTGAAGTTTTAATTTCATCAAGTTAGAAGCATTAGATAAACACCTTAGGCTTTTCACTGAAACCTCAAAAGGGCCATGCCTTAGAATTAAAGATCAAACTAAGGATTTGCCCTAAGGATGAGGTTAAAAGACGAACAGCTTCATACTAACAAAATATAAAAAATAAGCCAGTACAAGATCAAGATAATCAGCCAGTAACGTAACCACCCCTAGAACAAAATTAACACTTTTTAGGAATTCAAAAAAATGTATAGTATGTCATGTTCA